CAGGCCGCCGCAGCCAGCGCCGCCGGCACGCTGGGGCGCTGGGGAAGAAAGGAATTTCTGTGTAAATCCCATTTACCGTCGGGTTTCTCACTTCCCCTCCGGCAGACAATCCCAGCCCTCAGCGCAGCGCTGCATGAAGGGGCTGTTTAATATATTTTTGGAAGAACGGGAAAAAAAAAAAAAAACCTCTCTGAAAAGAGCCTCTTTCAGCTAATAATGAAGTGAATATTATATTAAGAGTGAAAACATATTCAGGGTAACTTAGAGAGGGAGACAGAAAACCTTTTCATAACACCCTGGCCACAAACACAACTGCCAATTAAACCGGCTTCGTTCGCTGGCCCGTGCCAACACAAACGAGGGGGCAGGGGAGCGGAGCATGCCGAAGCCGGTGCGTTCGGTGCCCGGTTGGGCTCGGCCGTGGCTGACGGCACCGAGGGGTTTCCGCTCCGCTGACAGAGCACACCGTCGAAATAAAAAAGCGTGAGTCCCCTGTCCCCGTCCCAGCCTGCACGGGGGCTCCAGCGCCACGGGGGTCCTCGGTCCCTGCCTGCAGTGACCAGTTCTGCCTCTCCTCTGGTCTGCACCAGGGCACTGCCACCAGCAGAGGGGATGTGGGGGGTGGCAGGAGCCCCCAAGCACCCGGCCCGAGGGACCAGCAGGATTGCTCCTGGCCGCGGTGGAGGGTGCTGAGCCACCCAGCCAGGCTGAGCTGATGGGACCAGCCCAGGCTCGGCTGCCCCATGCATCGCGTGAAGGTTTAGAGGGGTGGAAGCTGCATCTCCCACCCCAACACCCTGTGCCGGGGGGAGGAGACCTGCGACCAGCCCACAGGGCTGAGCTCAGACCGTAACAGGAGGTGCCAAAACCTGGAGCACCTTCCAGCATCCCCATCCCCGCCGAGGGGTCCCCATGCGCCCTGGACGTCTCGCCCCATCTTTAGCTCTGCCGTCCCATGTGTTTCGGTTACTTGCCGGCAATCTCGGCCTACCCCCGCCCCTGGCAGAGCAGAGCACAGCCCACAACATGGCGGGGATATCCACACCCATCAATGCTCTCCAGGGTTTCTGCATCAGCTGCCACCGGAGGGGACAGGCACCGAGTCGGGTCTCATTGCCCTCGCCATGTCCCTTGGGGGCTCGCCGGCACGGAGGAGGGCTGCAAGGGGGGGCGACAAGCTGGGAGACCTGACCCACAGGTGACACACAGGAGCACCCACGGGTGACACACAGGGGTTGTGATTCACACTTCCCATGGGCTTTATCTTTGTCTTGCAGCCCAAGGAGCTGAATTGATGGGTTGAGGGTAACACAACATCTCAGGTTTTGGTTAAACACCCACGCCGGGAAAACATCATATGATATCAGATAATATTTTAATTGAGCAAACGCTTGGCAAAGCTCAGGAGCTGCAGGTTGACATTTGATAAACCCAAACTGGAAATACAAGACCTATTCTGAGCTGTAACCAACCTTTGGAACAGTTTCTCCAGGGAACACGCTGAAGATGTTTGTCAAACTATTTAAGGGGGGGGGGGGGGGAGGAAATTTTTGTCCCAAACTTCTTAAAGGCCTGCGTTTTTCGATTAACAATCAGAAAGTGTAGTTCTCTGCAGAGATTTTTGTCTGTTTTGCTCAAGGACTTGTATTTCTGTTTTAATGCCAAGTCAAGATCCAAACACATCTTTGATTTTGCCCAGAGGCTGAAAGTTTGTATTTCTTCCTTTAATTAAAACAAACAAAAAAAAAAAATCAGGAAAGTAATTTTTGGCCGTTATTTGGTAAAGAAAAATGGAAAAATGCAATTCAGCGAAGTCTAGTTAACCATGGGAAGTCTCTCGTACAGCAGCAAACTGGCTCTCAACCTGGAGACAGACTCTAGGTCAAATACAAGTTACCAGCCTGGGCTGGGCGACAGCTCGGGGAAGGGTGGTTGCCGTTCCTGCAGCGTGCGCCGCTGGCGGCAGGCAGCTGACGATGGGAGCAGACCTTCCAGAGACTTACAAAGCTCCTCTCCGTGCCACAGCGAGCCACCCCACTGACATACCCTTCTACAGTTCAGATTTAGCAGGCGTAACGCCTTCCACAGTGAGTTTTGTCCCTACAGTTTGGAGAGCAGAAGGTCCTGCCTTTGCAAGGTCATCGATGGACACGGATGCGCCAAGTTTCCATTTGCAGATCCAGCCGCCCGTGCTCGCTCAACCCAAGTATCCAAAGGCTGTCGGAGAAATGCCAGCATGCCCCACGTCAGAGCAGAGGAAGGGCCATGAAAGGCACAGCTGTCTCCTGCTGGAAAAAACTCGGCCACGTTTATGTTTTCAGACCTATCTTATCCCAACAGTCAGGAAACACAAAGTTCTCCACTTCTTGTAGGGAAGAGGCATCAGCTTCTGATCAAAGGAAGTTATCGGAGCAATTTGTTCAGAAGAAGACGAATGTCCAGATTTAAAGCCCATCAGAAACCAACCCCTGAACCGCTTGCCTTTGGCAAAGCATTACGAGGGAGGCATTGCCATCTAGTGTCGACCCGGGAAAAAGGACTTGGCAAGACATCCACCTCCCCTTACCGCCAGCCCAACGGGGCCTGATGGGGGGGGACAGTTTTAATACCCTCCTGGAAAAGAGCAACGCCAAGCAGACGGGACAAGGCTGCCTGTGACGGGAGGCCGCAAATGGCTGTGGAAGTCCAAACCCAAGAAGCCAGCCGTTGGACAAGCAAGGGCCCAGGCTTGGGATTTTTTAATCAGAACAAGTGATTTGAGTTTCCGGCCCAGCTCAGTTAAAAGTCTCGCCGACAACCTTCCATGCAACACTTGCTTTTCAGGTGCATATTATCACTGCATGCTATTCATCAGGACAAAGCATTGCAGTGTATGATTAAGAGAATTAGTATCATATAACGCCATTTCTTCCTTTCTGATCATCAGGAAGGCTCTTGGAGTCTTCTGGAAAAGAGGCAGATCTGGGGAAAAACTAATCACTGGATTGTTCTTAGGGGACAGATGACAAAACCCAAACCCTGCACTCCTTTTTGGTCTCTTTTCTTCAAACTAAGCAGCACAGCAGGATTTGACCTCCTCTCGGAGACGAAGCCATCCTTTCTCCAAAAGCACAGAGGACCAGAACAAGTAGACAAGCAGCAGGGTCCAGAAGCGTGCTTGCAAGGTGCTGCCAACCCAAAGCTTTCCTAACCCTTTTTTTTTTTTTCTTCTTCCCTCTCCTCTTTGGGACATCCTACCGAGAGGACATTTTATTTTAAGACACCGTCAGACCACGGTGGTAAGGAATCCAAAAGCCTTAAAAGACGCTGGCAGAACAAGAACGCTTCAGACATTTCTCTCCTGGCAAGGGGCCGCCTTGGATTGGACAGCGACCACAGGCAACCCTCCCTGCCTGGCAAGTCAACAACAAGGCACTGAATCATGTTTAGAAGACATTATCCATCCTAGTCAAACACGGGCAGGACAAATACCATGAAAACATCGTTTCTTGTTACCAGGTCCCTCCTCCTCCATGGCTCCTTGCTAGTTTTGCGTTTACCTGCCACCATCTCACTAAGAAGCATTTGATTTTGCATTTATGAAATCTCAGCCACACCACGAAGGCGTTATGTTCAGAGAGACGCGGGGAGTACACAGCAGATTTTCCTCCAAAAGGAAACCGACTTGATCGAAGCTAGAGGAGTCAGCAATAGTTGTAGGGGATAAAGCTGGTATTCTTGAGTAATTTGAAATTTAGTATCAACATTCACAGGAACATTCAGCCAAAACAAAGAGCATAACATGCTGTTGCCCAAGAAGGGAGCTAGCTGTACAGCAACAAACCAGACCCTATTTCCAAATTCCAGCTCCTTACACTGAAAGAGAGACATTAATCATTCTTGCACAATAAATTGGCACAAGTCCTGCCAGCATTAGTTCTCAGGTTGGTTTATTTTCTCAGAACAAAAATATCAAACATAATTTTTTAAAGAACAACCTGTATAAACAATACAAAACTTCATGGCATCCTACTCCCATTTACGGATTCCCTAAAAGCAGCCCAGAACCTGCAACAGGTAGGATGTCAGGAAAGAGTTTTCTTCAAAGAGTGTGCAGGGGAGAAGAGAGGGAACGCTTTCCTCTCTCCTACAGCAGGACTTGGTTCTTCTGGAAATAGCCTCAGAATTTGGCAAACAAAACCAACTTCAGGAAAAAAAATCAGGTTGCGTATAAACACAGAACCTCCACTTCACACTCTCAAAACAAGACATGCTCTTGCCCCTTTTTCCAAAACATAGATGCGATGCCGAGACCTCTGTGTGCCCAGAGGTAGGTCTCCTTCCCGTCCAAGAACTGCTCTTTTCGTCAGTGGGCGAGGTCCTAGGATAACAAGATACCACAGTCAGTGTCCCACAGGCGTCACCTGTACATTTTATTCCATTTTAGCATTAAGTGGTCAATCGTTACTAGCACACGTCTACAGTGGCCCTGAAAGAAACACCCAGAATTTTGTGGCTTAGCACAAGCGGAATGGGCGCAGTGAAATCCCCATAAAATTCATTCAACCTCCTCACAAAAGAACTTGGAGGAAACTGAGTATTCAGTGACAAGAACTCAAAACTAGCAAGTCCACCTCAGAGATACCCTGAGAACACCCTTCAGGTCACCCGCTTTCCTGTACGGGGTCATCCATGCTACCCATCACTTGTGCTTGTCCAACCCTGTTCTGGGAAACCCAGTGCCTGGATACTTGCTCTTTGCCTTCGGGAGATAGTCCTGTGTCTCCTAGAAGATTCACCATTCTCCTCATCTGAGATTTCTATTGCTTCTCACCATACTTACTTGCTCCATCTTCCCCCCTTGCCCACACCCCCTTCCTGTTTGTAGGGCACGACCACCGAGAGGCCTGGCCACACCACTGCGACACCGGCGATGGATCACAAGGTACCCCCAGCATTTTGTTCTTTGTTAGCTCTCCCTGCCCCATCACTCTCAGCTGCAGTTGGGTCCTCACCAGTCTTGGAGTCCTGGCACACACTGAGAAGGTGACAGATTCTGTACCCAGCAAAGCCTCTTTCTCTCATCTGCAGCCCCCACCCTATCCCTCCCCCTCTTTAGGGTCACAAGAGCTTCACTAGAAGGAAACAAGTATCTAGGCGTAGGGTCAGTTTTCTCTGGATATAAACCAGAACTGTTTCTAAGCTGTGACTCTCCCCCCCGCCCCGTATTTTAAACGGGAACGTCTTGGGTCACTCATCAGGACTTGGATCACCTGCCTCATCTTCTACATGGCTACACTGACCTTGCTGCCGAAAGCTCGCCTGCTCCCAGCCATGCTTTCCCTCTGCCTCTCCACCTGCAGACAGAACCAGCACCTTCTCTTCCCTGGCCCTCACAAGCTGCTTGACTTGGTTTTCAAGTGCTGGTCTAACACTGCAAGATCTGCAGTGGAGCTGTGGTGCACGCAAGCATAGTGTAGAGTTCCCTCTTGTCCCCAGAGCCATTAAGCACCTGGGATAAAACACACAGCACACATTCACGCTGCTTTCTGATCTGCCTGTTAACGCATTTCAGCATCCTGCTGCTCACGATGTTGCTGCAGCTGGCACCTCTGAGATACTGACGGAGGAATACTGACACAGAGGGTATTTCCCCGATTTGTCCGAGTGCAGATGGTACCGAAACACTGCTGAAAAGTCGCCTCATCCTCCATAGGATGAACAGCAGAAGGAAAAAAAAAAAAAAAATCAGAAAAATCTTTGGAAACCTTTCCACAAGATAACACATTATCCGTTTCCTGCAGAAGTTCTGAGGATCAAAGGATCAGAAGATGCCCTATCTTCTCTCCGCTCAGGAATACCAGGAGCCCAAACCAATTTTTGATACTCTTTCAGCAGCTGTAGCCACTACAGCTTGCTCAGCCGGCTTGGCTGCAGTGGCCATCTCTGCAAATGTAAATCAAATTACTAGTAGCAAAATGGGGAAGCCTGCTCCTTAGAGGATATCGACTTACAGACTGCTAACCAGAAGGCAAAAAAAAACACCAAACCCAAAACAACCAGTATTTGTGAGGAAAACAGACGCTTTACAGACTAAAGGATGAGAAGATGAAGCATCACATGACGCTCAAAATCCACACCTCATTCATTATATATCCTTGAAAGGCACCACAGGATCACAGGATAATTAGGCCTGCAAGGAACATCAGTAGGTTTCTAGTCCAACCTCCTGCTCAGAGCAGGGTTAGCTATGAGGCCGACCAGATTACTCATCTTCCTCCGATGACCCTGAAGAAGCCCGGTTTTAGTCGGTCTGTATGCTCAGAGCCACACGAAACCCGTGACTCAAATGCCACCCTGCCAGAAAACTATGAGTCTGAATCAGGACAATGTGCCCCCCTCAAGGGCTGCCCCCAATTTAAAGTTTGGGATAATAAAAGTACAAAACAGTCGAGCAACTTTCAAGATTGCCAGAAACACACGAGTAAAGACTTCTAGCCCAGCACAAGCCAGGATTCACGGTAACAAGTCAGTGTAGAGCCACTGTCCCGGTTCAGCCAGACTCACGAAATCCCATGTTACAGTCTCATTTAACAGGCCACCTTTTATCGCCAAACCTTCCAAAACTGGGGGTTAACGAGGTTCATTGTAACGCAAGATATTCACAGTCAGCTTCAAGGCTGGCAGCGCTTTCTACTATTTACCCTGACCAGGAGAAGGGGGAGAGGAAGTTTCTAAAGAAGGAAAACTACCGGAGGACACTTCAGCTGATCTCTTCTCTTTGAAAACGTATCAGAAGTAGAAATGCTTTAAGTCATTTCTCCAGTTCACAGCATAAAGTTCTAGCAACTAGGACAAGGAAAGAAAGGTTTCTACAGTGGAAAAAAAAATCATTATACTTGATGCGCCGTAGTGTTCTGCACATTATTAGAGAAAAGCGTCTTTGCTCCTTTTAAAATGCAACTGACTTCTACTCTGCTACTTGTCAGTCTAATGTTATCCCCACACAGTGCTTCCTTTTATGTGTCCCTGATAGGCATACTTAAAAGATAATCACTTGATGTTTCCACTGGCTGTTAGCTGTGGTTTGGGGTGTCTAGCTGGGTATAAAACCTACAGCTACTAAGACTTCTTGTGCACCATAAAAACAAAGGATCAAACTGTGAGTCTTCTGGTTTCATGGCTGCTATTTGAAGTAATAAAGTCTTTACAAGGAGCTAATTAAAAAAATATTCAAACTGAAACCCTAAAGCCATTTCAAGGAGTGTTTGATCAGTTCATCTCTTTCATTTCTACCTAATGGCTACACAATCAAAAGAGAAGTGGAGGGGAAACACACGGCCCTGAAGACGCAGAGAGTTGGATCACGTTCAAAGTGTTTGCTGCTCCTGCACGTAGGAGAACAGCGTGCTCCAACCAGGACTCTGCTCCAATATTTGTTTCCTTCCCTTAACAGCAGGTTGGCTGCAACTCAGCCACAAAAACCAGCAAGGCACACACTCGCTTTGAAGTTCAGACAGAAGTCTGTTGGTACCAGCTATTTTAATTCATGCTTCAGAAAGACAAGGCAGTCGATCATCAATTTACAGTAAGCAACATGCCAGGTCACAGGTCATTTATAATCACAGTCACCTTTACTCTGCATTAAAGCCATAATTAACAGTTAATGTTTAACTAAGGCTTTAAAGTTTAAGCTGCTTTCTTGCATAAAGAACTGTTGCTGCCTCTTCCCCAGCTCCCCCTTTCCTGCCTCCATCTCTAGCAGGGATGCGGGGAAGTGTCATGTAGGCACCAAACACAGCAGATAAAATTTTCGTCAAAGCACGAGGAAACTGGAAGTAAGAAGCATGCACTCAAAGCATAGCTCCTGCCAGCTCAGCCCTCATTACACCCATGCTTTGAAGCAGCAGCTCTCAACAGCGTTGCACTGAGATAACCCTCAGTGAGAAGAGCGCTCCTCAAGAGAAGTAATCAAGTCATCAGCTTCGTGGAGGGCAGCCTGGAAGGCTGGCCTGGCTTTTACATCCCAGAGAAGTGCCTTTAAAGGATGTTCAGAGAAATGTAGCCTCCACGTCTGGTATGGGAGACAGAATGCCTTCTTTTCAACACTTCTGTTCAAATCTAAATAGGTTTGTCACTGACCATGGAGAAGAAAGGAAGGAAAGTTTTGACTTGGTAGTCAGAAGGGTACGGTACACCTTACACCACAGCTCCACATGAGCACGCTGGAAAAGGAGATGTCACGTGCACACATTTGGAGCACAGATCAGCAAAGGAGCTAAAACCTTCTTGAACAGCAATTGCCCGAGAAGTGCTTTTCACTCAAACCCCAACAAGTCCAAAAGGAACTGCCACTCTGGGATGACAGCCTGGAGAAAAAACACCGCTACCGGGAGGTGAACAAGCGCCTTCTGAAACGCACCACCTAGACCCCACGAGAGGTTACTGACAGGCTGCAGCTCTCCTGAGTGGCAAGAAGAAAGCCCAGCGACAGCTAGGGTGTTATCAGGTAGCTGATAACAAGATGTGCTGGGCAATCCACCCTGATATGAGGAGAAGAAACAGCTATTTACAACGCCAGGCTATTATGGTTTTATCTGGATAATTATTAGGGGGAACACGACATACCGCCATCCTAGGGAGCCTGTCTCTGAGCGTGCAATGTGCCTTCAGAAAATTACCTAATTAGGGTACCGCTTATCTGCTACCTACAGAAGTGATTCTGCAGTCAGCCATACCCTCATTTCTCTCTCCGACGTGTTGTTTGGGGATGTCCAGCTGTTAGTGCTTCAAGTGGGCTCACTTTTATGGCCAAGATGGCTGTGAAGCCCATCTTCAGGGTATGGTAGCACACAGATGCTCGGAGACTCCCCACGTCTGAGGGCTTGAGCAGGCTCAGACTACCCCGTCACAGGTGCACCAGATGTCCAAAAGTCACAGATGAAAGTGCAAGGAGCAGATGCGCTACTCCTTGTTTATATAGCCAAGCTATATGAACTTCCATTGCCATCTGAAGATCTGCACTTACACGCTTTTTTCTCAGGATGTTTGGGTTTAGGTTTTTTTTTTTTTTGCAAGTCAATTTGTCACGATCCTCAGCTCTGCAAAGGATCCACAGCGAGTTTCAAGCACTGCCTGTATGCTAGACAGACAGCTCGTGGCAGGATGAATTCTCCAGAGATCTTCAACAAGTCTCGACTCCAAAGACCCTGAATGCTGATGACAAGTACTACCATCCTGAACCTGAGGTGATGGAAAAAGGATCTGTCAAGCCTGCTCAGATCTGTGACAGGACAAGGATACCTAAAGCAAAAAGGAAAACCAGGAAGTGCAGCCCTTTCCCAAGCATTTCTAGAACAAGTCCCTCAAAACGGCACCCAG